GAAACAGCCAAAGGGCCGCGCCCGCCCCTGCCACAGCATCTTCCCACCTGCCCCCTCGCCCGACGGAGAGCAGCAGGGAAGGGACGACGAAGGTCCCGGCAGCACCCAGCCAGACCCCTGCTCCTCATCGCCCAAAGCCCACGGCAACCCCGTTTCTCCATCCCAGAGCGAAGGACCCAAGCTGCCCCCTCTGCAGCCTCCCCCGGCTGCCCACCCCTCGCCCCCCACCGCGCAGCCCGGCGTTGCCTCCCCACGGCCCCAGCAGCCTGCCGCACCACCTCACCAGGTCTCCACTTCGGAGAAGGGCACACAGAGCACTTCCTTCTTTTTTTCCCCCTTCCTCAGGCTCTGAGTCCCATCAAAATGCAGTTCCCACATTTTCCTTGGAAATCCAACATGCGATCCCAACAAAACCTTCCCCAGGGCTCAGACCCCGACCTGGGCTCGTGCCCACCCAAAGGTCACCCACCCAGGACGAGGCAGGGGACAGCAGCAACCACAGCAAGATCCCTTCCGACCAATTCTCTAATTCCATTTTTTCCCTTCACTGTTGCTACAGTCCTTGCATATAAACATTTCATTGAAGTCTTCAACTCGTATTACAATCAAACTTAAAAGCAAAAGGGCCTAAATGCATTTGGTTGGGAACCAAGACGATTCCCATAAAAGCAGATTACGCTGACATGATGAATATAAAATGAAACAGCAGATATTAAAGTTGGAGGATTGTTACTCCATGCCTTTGGGGCTTCTGGCCACCCTACCCTCCTCCTCCCACCCCGTTTCACTGAAGGCAGCGAGCAGGCAGCGATAGCCTTTTCCCCTCTGCCTTCTCCAGGGCAGGCTGCCAGGCTGGCAACCTCCACTGGCTCCCCCCAGCCCCCCCGACCCTACGCAACGCTTCAACATTCATCACTTCTTCGGGAGGCTGCGGCCCTGCCTTCTCTGTCATGGTGTTTTACAAAGCCTGTTTTGTATTTAATTGGCTTGTTCTTGCTAATCTACCATGATTGTTGTATTTTTATTTAATTCTTAAAGGTTATTATTTTAAAATAAGCCATTCTGCTTACGGAGGTTCATCGCTGCATGGATCCCCACCCCTGGATAACCAAACCCTCCTTGCGCTTCCCCTTCTCTCTGCTCCCCAGCGCTGCTCAGACCCTGGGACCTGCTGGGCAGTTTTACTATAAGGACCAAATCCGTGGTGTGACGGGTGAGAAGCCTGTGAGTAATTTCCAGCACATGGATCCAGGCTCCTCCTGTCTTCTTCCTCACCACCTGCTTCATCCCAGCAGGACCTGCACCCCGCCGCCAGACTTCATCGTCTCACCTGCACAACTCAGTGTCTTCATCTGTTGGCAGAGGAAGGGCTGGAGATCTGTTTAGTGATTCTATTTCCTTCTAGGGCAGGCTCAGCAACACGATCCCACCGCGCGCAAAAAGCCAGCACCAACGGCCGCGTCGTCCTCTTCTTGCCCGTGCGTCACC